GTAATATATAAATTCCAAATGATATCTTAAATAAAAAAATCACTATCCGCGTCTATATTTTTCTCTGTTTACTTTTTATAGCTAACCTAGATTATGATGAAAGTTTTACTGTCATTTAGATGATGTTGGATGGTACAATTTGCACCCATACGAAGTCAGGGCGATTCGTTAGTATATTATAACAAATAGATTCTCAGAATGTATATTTTAAATCACGCTGTATATAAATGTCACACCTAAATGTAGAGTAATTGTAAACATTCTCTTGTCTTCACAACGAATAACGAGTTTGGAAAACAATAGAATGTATTTACCTTGAAAATATTTTATTACAAAATATTATTGCAATTAAATTTAAGAATATGACTATATTCTGGACACGTTAATTATATTATTAGTATATTAAAAGCAATTAAATAATATTCTTTATAAAACAAGATGTAATAAATGTGATTATCTCTTTACTTACCTCTGGTACTCATAATAAGGGTGGTAGACCGCATTTGTAATACAGCAGTGTGAGAGCGATGTGGTTTGAAAGTGTCCGTATATAATTTAAGATTTTTCTTTGTAAAAAAACAACGAAGTCAATCATAAAAACTATATATAAATCATACACGGGAGTCAACCCTATCCACTGCAGAAAGAACATCAATATACGATTAGCAAGCTGACGTTTGACCTAATAAAATTGGGAACAAATCGAAATAATTTTCAAATAGACCTTACTATTGTATTATTAACGTTGAATCGATACGATTTTGATTTGATCTCAATTCGATTATGTCAAAAGTCAACTTACTGTTGGCGTAGTAATTAATTGCGCTCTATTATTTATTTATATATATATATATATATATATATATATATATATATATATATATATATATATATATATATATATATAAAACTAATAAAAATTATTGAGAACCTTCTCTTTTTAAAGTCTTTTAAAATGAATAAGGCATACTGTTCGTTTGCCAAATTAAAAAAATGGGTGAAGGCATGACGAATACATTGTGAAAGTGGAAGAATGCATGTTTCGAAAGAAACCAACACCAATCTACCACGGCTATAAATAAACTAAAATTGCTCCTCTCTTAAATACAATATAAAAGGATGAGTGAGGATGAGACGGAATAAATCAATCGATGAATTTAAATACTATTTTCAATCGACTTCAAAAAGAAGAAAGTTCTCAATTCAGTTGTATTTTGTTTTATGTTTGTTACCTCATAATTTCGTCATTTATAAACCAATTTGGAAAAATCTTTTTTATCTGAAAGAATATATTTAAAGATTAATCTGATGGAATTACTTCTAAAATTGATTTAGTACTTTAGTTTTTAAATTGAAATAACTGGTTTTGCAAGAATTGGAGTCGGCGGGTTTGTAGATCACAATCATAAATTATAATTACCCAGATCTAAAAATTCATGTCAGTACAGGTTTTTATTTTTTAATCTTACTGTACATATTTTATTGTTAGCTCTATGTTCAGTTTTGGGCGGATCACCATGAAACACAAGTGATGAGATGATCTAAGGGGCGTAACCAAACCACGAGAAGAAAAAAAAATTGATTACTGTTATTTTGTATGTTTTAACAATCATGTTACAATGTTTTAAGTATTACCTATTATTAGATCTTGGTTCTCACGCACTAGTTTTAATGTAGGTATATTGCAATATCTTATCTTACTAATATAATTAAATTTTAACTAGACGATGTCTATACATAGGAGATAGTTAAATTTATTAACGAAATATTGACATGATCTAATAAGAGTCCTAGGACCCAAACAATTACTTTTAGAAACTTTGTCTGTCTGACTGCCTGTCTGTATATTCATTCCAACATCCTACAAACACTACCAGAGGGAGACTTTGTACAAAAGTCGATTGCTTGGGTACCTCTGTCCCATTCGTGTTTCAACCGTGAAGCAGTTGTGTTTGCATGGCTGTGTTTCGGTTTGAAGGGTGGGATATGGCGTGAATTTACTGGGTACAGAGGAATAACACCTGAGTCCTCAGGAATGGCAACGCATGGGGGTATCATGGGCGAAACAGTATACTCTGTTATGTCCATGGTACTGCTCATGTCTATAGGCGACGGTTACCACTTTCCATCAGGTGGGCCGTCAGCTTGTTTGCCATTCTAAGTTCTATAAAAAAAAAAAAAAAAAAAAAACTACTAGGCTAAGGTTTACACAGTTGTGTTCCTGAAGGTAAAACTTAACATTTGGTATATGTTCTATTTTAACCTAGTGAAGGGTTAAATGGACAGTTTTTATGAAGAGAGAAGACATATACGGTTGACAAAAAACTTCTTATTAAGTGCCTATACAACACAACAACACTAAATCCTTATTAATAATTATAAATATGAAGATGAGTTTATTTATTTGTACCTCTTAGTGCTTTCTGTATACAGGAACTATATGGGATGAGATCTTTCCCTTTATTTCCCTTGATTGAGAGGACTGAAAGGGAAAGAAAGATGAAAAGACACAGGTTACTTTTTATCCAGTCATCGAATGCCGATCACGCAAACGGAAATCGCGGGTAAAAACTAGTTTATAATAAATTAGTAAAATGCCCATAAATATAAGTGTTTTTATTAATTGTCGATAAAATAAAATAATCTTTATAACAGGTTCATTACGGTGAAATGAAACCGAACCAAATATCCTATATTCTGATCTAGTCTTAAACTTGATGCATAATTCCTAGCCAGGATAAGTCTGTTCCGATCAAACCGGCACACCAAGAGTACACACGTGTAAATTTTAGGGATTGACATGCTCTAGGATGAACGAGAGGACAATCGGCTAGCCGCAACCGGCCGACTACAAATGACCGACTATTCAGCCTGAAGCCAGTATAATAGAACATTAGGTAGGGACAAAGTCAGTCAGCCAGGAGTGAGCGTTGATGTGCTGTAACTATGGTGTAACTATTGAAGTCATAAAAATATTATTAAAACATGAAAATCTCATCTTAATATTTTTAAGTGTTTAAAAAATCTATACGGGCGGGATTTAAAACCGCAGCTTTTATATAATACATTTAAATTAACACTTTACAAAAGAAGCATCTACTTTTTCTAAGATAATTAGTAGATAAAATATAGATAATACGTTTCCTAAGATAGAGATATGTTATGAGTATGCGACATGTCTAGCTTAACATAGTATGTCACATTAATATTTTTTACTTTTGTGACATGTTTCTGAAAATAAAAATATTAAATTCCACTGATTAAATATTTTAATGTTACCTTTCACAATTTGTAGTTTTGTGTTTAAAATTAATCAGAAAGGTCGATATTGGTATTATCAATAGGTTTAATTGTAAATTTCCATGAAACGTGATTTTCACGTGATACACGTGTAGTTGTAAATTATTGTCATATCGTCATCGGCCTGTTAGCTCAGTTGGTTAGAGCGCCGTGCTAATAACGCGGAGGTCATGAGTTCGATCCTCTTACGGGCCATAACTTTTTTTATGTAGCACTATTATAATTGTAAAAACAGAATCTGTAAAAAAAATCAAATAAACTTTGAAATAACGCTCATATTTATTTTTTATAAATACATATAAATGAAAATTTCTGTTCGTTGATAAGTGCTTTCCTTGTGAACCGCTAGACCGATTTTCTAATATTTGTTTATGTTCTTAATCTTAAGGGAAATAAAAAAAATATGTAGAAAGGGCAACGTATATGAGATCTCAGATCCACTTCTCAAAAATAAAAAAAGATCCGCTATTTACATATTTTTTGGTGGAACTTTGTTAATTTTGTACATATACCAAGTATATTGTAATTTTCCTAGAATTAATTTAGATACTAAATAACTTTTATATCATAAACTTTTTTATACAATAAACATTATAAAAATAAACAAATTAATTAATGTAAGAACTGGCTCATATCTGAAATAAATATAAGTATATTCTCACGCTCTCGATAGGTATCTATTGCATTAATATGAATATACTTGCGTGATACACAAACCAAAGGTAATAAAATCCTGTATTATATAGTATAAAGTATTATATAGTTTTGTGATACAATATACTTTAGTCTCCTAAAATACTATTTTATTCTAACTACATAAAAGAATTCTGTCATCTATTTTTGTAATTGGATAGAATATTTAAAATAAATAAATAAAAAATACAATATATTGTAACAACACGTATTTTATTCATACAAAAATATTTTCTCTTACTTCGTATAATAAGTTTGAAAATATCCCTTTATATGAGCACCTGAACACTCTATGTCTAAATTAATTATTATACAAGACATAAAACAAAAACGACTGACTTAACATATAATTTAAATAAATAAATTGAGCCTCTTATCATACCAAGCACCAAGTATTATATCCAATCCATTATATCTCACGATAACTATAAAGATTTAATTGCACTACCGGCCGGTCACTAAATTTACAAACATGTATGTATATAAGTAAAAATTATTTACATTTAAAACTAACATTTCGGTATAATTATACTGAGCTTATATGGATTAATGTAAAACGTTACAATAACATTTTTACTGAGTACATTTCAATGATTAAATTTATCTAATTAATTAATAATAAACACAAATTACAACTACGTAATTTTACATTTTATTGTGGGTGGGATCTTGCGTTACAATAAGAGGTACATATGTAATTATTTGAATTATAACACTAATGTTATAAAATTATTAAAAATACCGCAAAATATCATAATATAAAAACAGACGATTCATAACTGAGTATTTAATGATAAATTGAGGTAAACTTGGTGACTATAAAATAATACAAAATACTTTAATTAACTGTAAGAGTAATATTATAATCTCTTCAATTATGTTCAGTAGATACCTACATAGCTATCGCGATATTTATTAATATATATATATATATATATATATATATATATATATATATATATATATATATATATATATATATATATATATATATATATTGTTATATACCTACACTAATCAAAAAACAAATATTTAAATTTATATTATTTGGTTATAATATATATTTATTTACATAAGAGTTGTATGGCATATTTTTAACATTCTACGGAATGAACATATGGCGGTTCGTCTAATTTAGCAATAGACGCAGATGATGTTCAGCCATCGCGACCAGTAATTATTGATATAACGCTTCTGTGTTCAGAATCGCTGTCACCACTCAGTATAATATTTGTTTCGCCCATAAATCCTGAATCGATCTGTTCTGGTCCACGACTAATTTTTCTTTTCATCTCATAACTATGCAGACCCAACTCTGCGAACATTTCCTTTGTATCGTCAAAATTACCAAAAAATACGGAATCTGTTTCAACGCTCTCTCCACCAGATTCGCTACGTCCATCGCACAAAGATTCTAAATCATCAGTATCAGACTCCATCAGTAATATTGGTGTTCTAGTTATTGATCTAGCGACCGGCACCGGAGCGGGTTCGGGAATATTTTTAGGTCTCAATTGCATAAGGTATTTTGCTCTCCGTTTTGAGTCATTGGAATCTGTGCTCATATAACCCGAGTCTTCAGTTCTATACAATTTTCTTAAATCAGTGCGCCGAGATCTAGTACGCGCAGACCTACGTCCAGAACGTCGAGCATTTAAGTTATCTACTCGTGTGTACGGAGGAAAACGATCTCTTTCTTCTGATATACGTCTTCTATCACCAGAGGGGCTTTCTCTAATTGATGAAGAGAACTTTGGAGACAAATCAGGAATACGTCGTTGCTTCGGAGGTACAGGTGGTTTTAAATCTTTCTGATTATCTATTTGTCTTATCAAATCTGGGGTTTTTACAGATCTAGCAAAACATGCCGCATCTTGATTTAGATAAGGTAGACTTCCACGTCTGTTATAAAGATTTATTTCATTAGTTTGCACTTTTGCTTTGGCTTCATATATTTGTCTCAGGCTACCAATTTTTCTGGTGAAAGTAACTTCTGGTGGAGTATTGGGTTTATTTTTAGATTCTGGTGTATTTGTTTGAACTTTGAATTTGAAACTTCCCCCAGATTTTAAAAGTATCTTTTCAACGCGTTTGTTTTCACGCTTAGGTTTCCGGTCAAGAGTATCTGGATCAAATTCTTCATTTACTTTACGCCTACTTTCTATTGGGGAGCCACTTACTTTTATAGTCAGTGGACCAGGTTTCGAGATATTATCATACAATGGTTCGGAAGAGTTTATAATTATTTCACTGCGATTTTTGAATTGAGGTTGTACTATATTATAAGGATTTTGTACATAATCTCCTCCAAATCGTTTTATATCGCACCAACTATTAAATGAATCTTGTTGATAATTGTCAACAGCTTTATTTATATCGCGCCAACTACTTGTTAGTCTACCACGAGCTGCGCTCTGAGGTCTTTGATTGTGGTCAAATATATCTTTATGAGCTAACTCTGGTCCGCAAGCTAATGAAAATCTGCGTCTTTTGAGCGCATTTTTATCTAAACTATCCAAATCCATAAAAATATTATCTCGTGAAAGAGACTTTTCTTTTTTACGATTAATAGAAAGTGTATTATCGTCACTATAATAATGAGAGTCAGCAGCCACTACTGGTATAACAATCTTAGGGGCAATAGGTGTTACAGATTCTATTTTCATCTCTTCTAATACTTTTGGTTCTGTTCGGCGACAGTTATTAAGTTCACGTATAACTGCTTCCATTTTTATTTTAACTTCCACTGGTATGGGTTCTTCTTCTTCTTCATGTTGTGGTGATTCTGGTAATTGTGGTGGGTTTGCTGGAGGTGGAGGAGGTGGAGGCAATTTCTTTCTTATACGTCTTGACATTTGATTCGAAATATTTTTATTTTCCTGTATTTTGGTTGGTGTGGTTGGTATTACATTTTTTATATCTTCGGGCATCTTTCCAATATTTTGCTTTATAGTAATATTAGCGCATTTAGAATCATCTTTCTTTATATCTCTCTTGACATCCTCTTTCTTTGTCTCTTTCATCTCATTGATTTTTAGATTACTAACTTGTTCTTTAACTTTAGAATCTACTAACTGTAGATTGCGTTTAATTTCTTCAATTCGTAGTGGTTCTGTAGAATGTGGCCGTATTTCACTCTTTAATTTTGCTTCTATTGCTCTTGGAGAACCAATAACTTTCTTTATAGGCTTTATCGATTTTTCTGACTGTGGGGGAGATGGCACATCGTCTAACCACTTCCGAACAATCGTTTGTTTATAATCTTCACTAACGCATGTTTTACATGAATTAGATCTGGTCAATGCTATAGATTTCTGGCTTTTAGTAACAATGTCACATCCAGGACATCCACCGCAATGACCTGCTCTTCTACTATTTTCCTGTTTCAGATTTATGGCAATACTATATCTGCGATTACGACGAGCGCACGGAATATCACAACCAAGATCTATTGAATTATAAAGATCTTCTTCTGGTATATCAGACAAAATTGGGATGAACCTTTTTGAAGTCATTTTATCCTTGGCCAAAGACATGATTTCACGTATCTTCATTAAAAATTCAATCGCTGCTGGTGGAGGATTCTGAAACAAATATAAGACACAAATATGAATTTAATATAAATAATGGAATATCCACAATAAATATATTTATAAATCAACTAATATTATATATACCTACGTTTATTTATTTATTTTTATCATTGTATATATTCACATTATTATTATTATATTATATTATTTATTTAAACTTTAGTACTCAGTAAAATTCTATGTTCATTTGGCGAACTTAACACCAGGTGGTGTTCTCTACCAGTCAACCATTGGGCAAACCGTGAAATATTATACGTAGGCGGTGCATTATTGAATAGAGGAAAAATAAAGCAATATCTATTTGATATATTCATATAATATAAACATAAAAATAGTCTAATATAAACATACATCTAATATACAATACATACATAAATAAGTACATAAAATATTACTATATAAAAAAATTAGATAAAACAACTGTAACAGAAAGAGCAAGCTAGCTTGTTTAGGGTGGACTTTAAGTCAAGCCGGAGTGAGTTCCAGTGATATTTTTGATTATATATTAGAACTTACAAAAATATACATAATGTTTTGTGACCTAAATATTTTAATTTCTAACCTAATAGTAAAGATTATAAAGTTTATTTCAAATATACATTTTAAATATAAAAAAATATATTTTAATTAATTTTTTTAAATACTTGCCTTCAGATGATCGGTTTCAAAAAAAACCGGGTTGAAATATAGTTTCTTTCTAAGAGCTGGCTCTCCGTTTGAAGATTGAAATGGTTGTCTCGCCACCGTATTATTTTCTAAAGTACAATCTATAATAGATAATTCGGAATGTGGAGCTCTTTCAAAAGTATCTGGTGACATCGACCGACGTTGAAAACGTTCGTTCATTTTTTCTGATGTTGTCGATGCCCTTATCGAAGGTCTAGTTGGCTTTTTACGTCTTGTATGGACCATTGCCGATACTACGTTAGAATTTGTTTTCTGAAACTGATTAAACTTTATTAATGATAACAACACAACCAACTTTATTGAATCAAAAGCATCTGTTGTAAGATTATCACCTGTTTATAAAAGTACATTTACCTTTTGAGTGATATTCGGAGATGAATCAATAGTATCTTCTGTATGCTCGCTGACATCAGATAAACCAGAATCATTTAAAAAATTTGAGTTCAAATTACTCATATTCAATAATGGATTAGTTTTTAATTGCTGCAATGAAAAATAAATGGGTAAATAACAAACTACCAAATTACATGAAAACAAAAATATATTTTCTTTCATTGTTATTAAAATATTTATAGTAACATACCACATTGTCTAAGTCGATACGAGAATCGAGTGGCGATCCATTTTCTGTGGATATAGTGTTAGAGTGATTGGACTCCGGGTCTTTATCCTTTCGTTTCTGCCTTTGTTTGTAATGAATATAAAATATAATGCCGGCCGCATATATAAAAACCAGCATGAGTACACATACGCAGATCGCTAACGACTCCAGCACACTCAGACCTTGGTTCTGAGAGGAAGGTTCTGACGTTACTGTCTCGCCAGCATGAAATGGTATGGATCGGACATCTATAAAAAAAATACATTAAATAAATAAGTAATGACGTTCATTATAATTTAAGACTTAATTATAAGTAAATAGTTACTAATTAAAAATACATACAAATGACGATAGGTATCTCATTAAAGACTTTTTCTTATTATTGCATAATATACCTAATATAGTATGTATAATATGTCATATAAAAGCAAACAATTGTTATGGTACTCATAGTTATTTAAATTGCTACTGAAATAGCTAAAATAATAACAATAAATATTAAGTTACCTCTTTTTCTGATCAATGTCAGGTTCGAAATGATTTTATTAATATTAAAGAGATAAAATATCGAACTTTATAATAAAAAAAAATATACTTACCAAGTAAGGAATTATGTGAAGCGCCAGCAATTCTAAAGGCAGCACAGGAGGCGGCAAGGCGGGACTGTTCATGAGCTGAACACAATACGTGCGCTGCTACTAGGCGTCCTTCCAAACGAGCGTGCAGTGCCGCAGATCCTCGCCACTGTTAACAGCTAGTTTGTTAAATAAATCCTGCCTATACTGATATAAGAAATTTGTTTTTATTTTTTAATAAAATGGAAAAATTTATTAGCTATTTATTGTATGCAAATTTGAAATTATTTTTTAAATACTGATCCTGAATTTGGTACTCTTAAAGTATACTTTAATAGTTTTTTTACAGCTCTATCTGATAAAATACGAAATCGCGTCTTTTAATCATTTAGTACCAGATAATATTCCTGTGTATATTCAATGGTAGACTACACACGGCTCGTATATTAGCGAGATGATAGTTCAAATTCCTTCAGATCGAGCTTCAAGTTAGAGGCAATTTTAAGCTTATACAGATGTTTAAAGTTAGAATCAATAAATAAATTTTATCATTAAAAATTAAAAATTACTGCTGTGTTTTCTATTGTTGTACTACAATATTATTTATGACACTACAAATGGCGAATAGTGTATTAAACTTATACTGTCAAAAATAAAGTAACGGATAAGGATAAGTGATGGAAATTTATAAAGATCCCCCATAAACATAATTAAGATATGATTACCCAACCTCCACTGTGATGTTTTTTTTTTTTTTTTTTTTTTTTTATACTACTTAGAATGGCAAACAAGCTGACGGCCCACCTGATGGAAAGTAGTAACCGTCGCCTATAGACATGAGCAGTACCATGGACATAATAGAGTATACTGTTTCGCCCATGATACCCCCCATGCGTTGCCATTCCTGAGGACTCAGGTGTTATTCCTCTGTACCCAGTAAATTCACGCCATATCCCATCCTTCAAACCGAAACACAGTTATGCAAACACAACTGCTTCACGGTTGAAACACGAATGGGACAGAGGTACCCAAGCAATCGACTTTTGTACAAAGTCTCCCTCTGGTAAATAATAATAATGTTCCGTTGGCGACCCAATTTATATTTAATAAAATCATAAATATAATTAACATAATCATTTGAAGTTTACGACAATCCACGTTATCCCAAAATTTACAACTGCAGTTACAAAATTTTAATAAGGCATCATGATTTTGAAAATTAACGGAAACACCTCAAAATTGTGACGGCAATGAAAACGTGATTCTGGTCGATACAAAAAAAAATGTACTCGAATATTTTTCTTATCTGAAGTCTTAATATCGATATGAGACTATAAAAGATAAATCGAAACTGGATTATCCCAGTATATATGTTAATTTCCGCTATTCGTAAAATGAAATTTATGTGTTTTGAACACACAAGTAATAATGGCGCGTGCCAGTACCGATGCCAACATCCACAAAACACTGTAAAAACCGCCATGGAGAATGTTAATGTTGGGATCACTGAACAAATAATCACTATATTTTACTTGGTGTAAGATTTTGTAAATATGTATTAATTTATTATATAATTAGAATGCTAATTTAAATATTACAGTTCTTTAAAACGCTTATTCATCTTATTAATTTTATTTCCAATTGCCATATTTGTTTTCCGTTATACTTATAAAAGTGAAAATAGTCAATACCTACATTTATTTATGTTATTCATAGATGTACGAGTTCATTCAATTGTTTATAACTGTGAAAACTAAACACATATTTAAAAAAGAACTTAAATTTTTTTTAATTACTAAACAAAAATTAGCGGAAATATTTATTGCCTGAATGTGACAGAAAGTGACCTCTAACTACCCCTCATCTAATGGTATCTGTTATTTATTTAGAATATAATATCAAATGGAGGCCAATGTAATGGACACATACAATGCATTTTATTCATTTTTTTTTATTATTATTTTTAATAAGGAATTTCGCTACTGACTCTTGGCCACAACAGAATAACATATCAGTATTTTGCTCTTTTGAGAGCAAAGCAATAAACTGAGTTGTGACCATTTTGTATTACTATGGCACACGCATGAAGAAAAAAAAAGGAATTGTTGTTTTTATATATTTTGCTTTGTTTTTTTTTTTATTTTCATTCTTTTATCTCTTTTACTGTGTATTATGTGTATATTTGTATTGTAATTTGTGTTCTGTAAGTAATGTAAATAAATTATCTATCTATCTATCTATGAATATAAAAAGTTATTTAGTACTTATGATTATCACTTTCCATCAGTCTATCACTCTATCATTTGATGTAACGGCACCATAGACTTAGTGTAATGTACTTACGTACTTTATAATCTAAGAAACAGAACATATTAATAAATTAATAGCTATAGAAATTGAATTGAATTTTTCTATTTAATTTAATCTACCCTCCAAAAATAAACATATATCGTCTGATATATAAATTGGGAATCTATAATTGGCTAATATATGAGTATGGTGTAAATATATCTAGATATCAGCTTTGGATTTCAGATATAATAATAAAATAAATAAATAACCATACAATTGTACTATCAATACAACCTCAAAAACGAACCAAATATTAATATTCAAATGAAGTAATTTTAAAGCTTCTGTAGAAATTCTACAAATGCTATAAGTATACGCCTGAGCAATAATATGGTCGGTCACCTTGGACACAATCATTATCTATGTCAGTTCCAGGTATACGGGTAATTTCTTAGCAATAATGATAATATCTCAAGTACATCGTTTCGAGATGACACTCCACGAGGACCTGATTTATCTGGGGAATATGGACTCGTAATTCCAGAATTTCAAGTCGTTGAGACGGTTATATCTCATATGTTCCTATGTAATAATAGTACTTACACATGAAATAAATCGTTTATTTTCTTATCAAATATACAGAGTTTTGATATGAGATTGCTTAGAAATATTGTCGTAAGTATTGTAAATTATTGAGGCAATAAAAGAGGCTATAATAATAATGCCTTTATTATTAGTACCGGGACTATATGGCAAAATAATTTGTAATGTGGTCCCGACATAGAAAGAGCCACCCTTTCTTTCCCGTGAGTATCGTAATAAACGAACTAAACTAACTTTCAAAACATCACCAAAGCCTAACTGCGGTTGCCAATTCACCTGCCAAGCGTGTTACTGGCAAAGCCTTATATGTTCAGTAATGGATAGTTAAAGGTAGACATGACGACGATGATAATAGTAAAACTCATACGTATTGAGTTTTTACAGATTGTCATTGATAGACCATTTTATATAGTTGGTAGCATTTACGAGACGTTTAATAAATAACATTACCTACTTATAATACAATACTTAAGTGAATTGACATTTCTGATATTCTAATAGATAGTTTACGAACTGAGTTATAGAAACACTACAAGAAATTAAAATTATATTTATTTATACTTTTGCACACATTAAAATATGTTTACAGGGCGAACTTAATACGTGATGGTATTCTCATTCATTATAATTAGAAACACTTATATAGAACAATGTAAAAACTAAAGAAATTTAATTTATTCATCCAAATGCATATTAATATGACAGCAAAACACACATATTATATTAGGCACTTTATTTAAAACTATATGTAATACAAATCCTAATATAGTCTTCACAAAATTAAAGAAGTCGTCCTTGAAAACTTTGCTCGCCATAATGAACTTGATAGGTCCATAACTGCCTTATGAATTTCGCATTACTGTCCTCAGATTTAATCCAAATAAAGACATCATTTGCTAGATGTGACAATTACAAACACGAATACATTGTTTAATTAAAAAGTAAATTCAATCGTGAAAGCAGCAATAAACAATGTAAATTTCTACGTTGATAATAAACAGTTGTTTGCTACGAAAAAGTAATTATTAATCATTACAAAATTAAATTAGGACAAACACGGGAGTAAACCTATCGAATTGCACATATAATTTAAAACAGAATCAATTTCATTCGTTATTTTAGAATTACTCCGACTGTTATATAGATAAGAATCGGAAAAAAATACAGACAAATTAGAAACCAAATTTTTGGAAGGCGTTTAAAAAGCAGGGCAAAATTATAAGTAACTACATAAGCATGGTTAGGCAAACAGGTTTTACAAACCTAGAAATCATTAATAATTAAGTGTCTGGTTTAAAAGAAATCCGATAGAATCTATTACAATTATTATGTGTGACAGGAATTGAATTAAATTTACTTCATTCGAAAACCTTCTTACGAGGGTACAGTGTTTACTTACGGCCGCACACAATTGTAGGAAATGATAAACAGTAAGATCATAAAATTCCCATTACACACACACACACACATATATATATATATATATATATATATATTCTTATAAAATGAACATAAGTTTTAAAAATAATATTTTCTAGGGACTTAAAATATATAAAAATACATTAAGAAAAGTTTTAACGGAATTCCTTTGGATATGAAATAGCAGCAGTATGACAATTCAAAAATCATATAGGTTGTGTGAACGATTAAAGTAATTTTTAATACGATAATCCAATCGAAAAAAGAAATAAGAATTTTCGTTTTGCCCTCTGCATAAAACCAATATTCATGCTAAGTAGTCGTATCTTTTAAACTGTGTTGACTTTGTACCTAATTGGATTTAAACTCAATGAGTTTTAAGAAAACACATCTTGTACGCACCTAATTCCATGTAGTTGCGATTTCGCTCTGGTTTTTTTCGATAATAATCTTGGTGTTGCCTTTCATAAGCTTTTATGATACCCGGCATTTTAATTACTTATTAGTACATAAACTTTTAATTTCAACTTATTAAATAAACAATAAAAATGTGAAAATAATGATCTTATGCGATAAATGTTAAGAGTTACAAGGCAAACAGTTGATAAAATATCTGCTTGGGAGGTAAAGATGTTGTTTTCTTTGATTTTGTATTTTACTGTTGTTTATATTTGTTTGCCATCGATTATCCATTTTATAGTATCATGATCATATCCACCTACTATTGTTTACTATTTATTACAGTCGCTTTCGATAGAAATAAATAAAAATTTAACAAAAGAAATTATCGACCCGACCATAAGGCATTCTACTGAAATTCAAAAGCACCTTAAAATAATATAATTTTATATAGAATGTGCTTCTATGGTATTTTTTGCAAAACATGATTACCTTTGCACTAAATTCTATTGAAACGAACAATACCGCGCTGGTTTGGTGACTTGGTAAGAGGTATAATTTCCAGCCTTCTATTTCTTATACTTTTATAGATATGTTATCTTTTGTATTTATTTTTTAGTCATCTATTATGATATCAAGGAGATAAAATCAGTAAACTGAAGTAAGTACATGAAAATCTCGCATAACCGACTGACAAATTATTATGTCATGTTTGTTTTGTGAGGTAATATAAAATAGAAAAAAAACCCTTATTTTGCAGCATGACATTATATAAACATGTTTGGTACAGTCTTTTTTTAGTGTTTTAATAGTTTAACTACGCCTACGTTATCGGTTTTCATGGGCAGAACACCAGTAAGGGATAATATGTGAAGATAAAATGTTGGGTCATTTAACCCATAGTGTGTTCATGATGCATCTACCGAATATTAACCACCAAGTATACACCGATAATTTCTAAGAAGAACGACCTAGAAGTACCCATTACTTCACCATCATCATCAACTCCATCACCGTTACATCATTCCTTCTTCTCTGCGTAGTGTGGTGTTCTTAGAAATTACATTTAGAAATAATGTTATACAAAATAATAATTTTATATAAATTACCTGTAAGAAAGTGCTGCCTTCATCTCGGTACAAGCTAAAGGGTACGTCGTTGTCGAGCAAATCCCTCAGTGTTACCCAACCTGATGGCGATAAATACTGTGCACTAGTCACAGCGCAAATAGCATCCTCAACGTCTAAAAACAGAATAATTAAAAATAAATGAGTAGTAAATACAAATAATTGCCGTTATTTAATTTATTTATTCTTTTTTGGTCAGATTACAAAATATTTCGTACAAAAGGCAGACTTATTGTTATATAACATTCTTTCCTAGTTAATCTTTGTAAAAACAGGAATGTATGTGGTAAAAAATATTGAAAATTGTTGTATACATTTTAATTATTTTTAAATAACGACCCACCGAGGTTTGGCGTAGCTTCTATAACCAACGTAAGCTATAAAATGATTTTATTGCAAATTCATTAATACATTGAGTTAATCTGTTTATACCAAAATTTTATTACATATCTTGGATTGTACTCATAATAGTTAACAGTTAACTAATACTTTTTAAAAGACATCGTTTCTGATTTGAAAATATTTAATTATAAATTATTCGTATTATTTAATTATTATTATTATATTACTTATGTTTAATGATTTTAATCATATTTTTTATTAATAAAGTATTAAAGGGAGTAGGTTTTAAATATGAAGTATAAATTTATAAATTCACCTTACTCCCATATTGTCTAGTGGTTAGGATACCTGGCTCTCACCCAGGAGGCCCGGGTTCAATTCCCGGTATGGGAATTTGTATTTTAATGTCGTAACCGTAGTTTTTATACTATAAGTAGTAGAAATAATTTTATTTTTTCATTCAATTTACTTACTTGTAAAAATTATTTCCTTAGCAGGATAAACAATCTGGCCCTTCATTGGTAAAAACACGAACGGGATCTGCGGTTTTGTTGAACCACGACCAAAACTCGCCATCACACATTCTGGAAAACAAAATAAACGAAAATATTATTTATATCAATACAATAATTATAGATGCAAACAAAGCATAAAAAAACTATGTCTACGCTTTATATTCGGGTTGCCACTATTTATATTTTAACCTTGTTTTCTGAACATGTCATGTCATGTAAAATTAATCAGGGTCATATGAATATTATTAATGTTTAGATACTCAATATAGTCTTGAACCTAAACCCTTAAATTAGGTCTGTCAATAATAATATCATTAAGTAAACGCAATTGGAATTTCAAATGTGACATTGTTCTTGGCTTTGACCTAAGGCCTTAGTTTAAGCTTGATTTAACAGTACTTTGCAAATCATTGACATAGAGGGTAGAGATACGTTTTAATGATACTCAATTACATATAATACGCCTGACTCGAAGCAGCAGAGACGTGATAGTTAAATACTAGCAAGATAAATGCTTTAATTATTTTTCTAGATTATAAATGTACTTTTTATTAAGTAGGAAACATACAAGGGGCATACAATTCCATACAAAATATCTCATAAAGCACTATGGCATACGTTTGAATAATAATTATATTGTTGTCTATAAAAAAACTACTTCAATTGTGGTAAAAAAAAGTTATTTTTATTGAAACTAAACTGCTGAAGCGATTTTGATAAAATTTCTATCGCACTAATCATTAGATATATCTTTTCAGAAAAAAAAAATTCAAATTGGTTTACACCTGACAGAGTTATATGGTAAACATAAAAAAATACAACCCAATTGAAAACCACCTTCTGCTTGAAGTCGGTTGAAAATAACGGGATAAATATTAACCTATTATATTATCAACATGTTGCACTGTAACGCCTTAACGTCTAAACCAATCACTACGAAATTTTGGATACACGTACTATATGGGATGGAGGAAGGAATTGTTAGTAATGAGACACAGCGGCTTCATTGCTAACAATATACTGAGTGAGGTCGACTGGAAACAATGAAAACTCACCATCAATTTTATCAGTACAAATACGTTGATCCTCTCTGAAGGTAGGCGTATCTCGACGACACTGACATAAGCAGCCATCACCCCCACTAGGTGCAGCGAGTGCTGTCCCATGGGAGACCTCCATACATCGAGTTGGGCCGCAATCTGTACCTAAAATATATATTAGTTTAAGCTTTAAATAATTTTAATAATCAATCAGTTAGTAACTATATTACAACGTTAATACTTAACAATCTACACTAATATTATAAAGAGGAAAGATTTGTATTTTTGTGTGTATGTTGGTAATAAATAAACTCAAAAATTCCTTTGCCGATTTAAAAAATTCTTTCACCATTAGAAAGCTACATTCACTCTGAGTAACATAGGCTATATTTATTGCTAGAAAAGATTAGGGGTCCTTACTAAAACTTTAGTAACGTAACTAAAGGTGTAAAAAAGTGCTATAAAATATCTTTCGTCGCGTGCGCGCGGCTTTTCTTGATAGAACAAAAGTATATTCTACAATATTGAAAAAAAAATCTATAACTATAAAAAACTTCTCGATACTATAATTATGTCTAACTATTATTGTTGTCGCAATAACCACTTTTTAAAATGATGTAAAAATGTCCACCCGGACCGGGCAAGCCGGGAATAATAAAATAATATCTATATACAAAGACAATTACAACAAATTATGTTTTAGAATATCGTTTCAAAGACAAATTATATTTTAGATTATCATTTGACTACTAACTTCATTCACTAGCTAAAATTTATCTAAAAATTTTTTTTTGTCATCTCTTGTTATCACCTATTGCTGAGGTAATGGTGTGATATTCGATTAACAAAATTGTTATTTTTTAAACGTATAACTAAACTATTAATTATAATATTATTATAATGCTATAGTAATGAGGGTCGCAAGACTTTTTACTTAACATTTTAGCTTTTACGTGAGTCGCGACATAAAAATGATTGGAAAACAATGTTTTAGAAATATTAATTTCTAAGTGGAGCAGTGAGAAAAATTATAGATAAAATAGTATATATATATATATATATCTACAAAAAAATTACATGAAATTACTGTTTAGCTGTATTTATATAATGTTATTTAAAGCACTGATATCAGCAAAAAAATGTTATGATTTTTTTTTTATTTTAATGTCTATCTGAAGCGAAGAAGGATTATCAAAGTGTGCATTCTATACAGATAATTATAATATATAGATCCTCCAAGGGTCTTTATGGTTGGACTACGAACTTATTAGCCCATAAATTAGGCCGATTTTGAATTATTATTCCCTAAACATGATTCTTAAATTAAAATTTTAAATTGATAATTTATAGAAAGTATTCAGTTAATGACCATCAAGAATTAAGTTTAATATAATTCTGACTCATAAACGTTCATAGTAGTTTTTGACTTAAAATTTTGCTTTAATATCAATTGAAATTTTCATTTTAGAGATAAAAAGTGATGATGATTTAGAAATGACCTCATTATGATATTAGATTCTTAGATTAAATTCAGCACACAAACTCACCAACAAGCGAAAATAGATCTCCTGAAGCAAATCTTGTAACGTTCCCCAACGCCATCTCTTCTGTAGGGGTCGAAGTACCTATTACGCTTGTTACCATTACCAAAATCACTAACAGCGCCATCTCGTATACTTTCTTCAAACCAAATCGCAAAATAGCTTTTTTCATTTTCTTAACTTAAGCCAATTGTCGTCATTTTTTTGTTGCTTTTCCTGTCGTCCATTCTTCTCCGGGTTAGAGTTGATCATTATCTGATAAAAAAAAAAAAAACAAAACAATAAATAAATTTCACTCCACATATTGAGGATAATTATTTTACATCGCCTATTTCCTATAATCCCTAATATCTATTTACCAACTGCAAAAGGGACAGGTTCCCAATTCGACTGGGTTTCTTTTGTATTTTGGTATGGTACAATAATCTTCATCAATTATGATTCCGTTGTTGAGGATTGTTTCTTCAATAGAAAGAATTTTACTCAAGTAGTAGTCTTAGGCTTATTTTGTCTGACTTAAAGACTATATTTTTTTTGGGATAAAATAATAATTAATATACCTACTGAAGATTATAATATTTTATTGTTAAGTTTCGTAAGCACACATTATTTAATGTAATAATAACCGGTTTAACTCACGTGTAATTAGATCGAAACTGCTCGACTAGTCAAGGGATCGTTTCATGATTCTTAATCATGAGTAGCTGTGACGCGAGTCAGGCTTACGCTCGCGTCACAGCCAAATTAAACGTAAGTTAAACCGGTAGTTATTACATTAAGAATTTTTCTGGTTATGATTATATATATTACAGAATTATTTGCCTAAATTGGTATTATAATTATTTTTATAATTATTAATTAAAGGTAGCAATTGCTAACGTTAACAACCTCAAAAAAATGTAAATTAAATTAATCAATATAGAAATTTATATGCGAGAGAAAATATCATGGCCGTTCTATAAACGCTTTCGAAATCTCCATCAATACATACTTAGATCATTTAATTATGCATGCTATATGCATGTGGTCATGCTATATTATCAAAATAAACCTGTCAGAAATTAAAATACTAATTTTTATACAAAATTCCACCTACATTAGTTAATGTATGTATAAAACAACACGAAACATATGTCCTATAGATACTTGTGTATATAGGTAGATATTTAACTTTCTGTTTATATAATTAGCATATTATTATAATAAATATTAAATAGGTATACAAAACTAAGAAAACTTCTAAACTGGTTCATTCGTCAACAAACAGAAAAATATGTAATTTTGAATAAATATAGTAAGTTATGAAGTTTTTTTTAGTGAATAGTAGTGGAATTGTAAAACCCCGTCTTCGCTGTCGGTATACTTTGGCAGAGCACCAATGAGTAAGTGGTTAGGATGAAAGCAAGATAGTTGACCCATCGCGACGAATTCAACAAGAAATAACTACGATGGTTTCCAGGAGGAATCGCGTGGAGGTTGACCTGATACGGTGTATTGCTAGCTTGGCAGGGCTTTTAGGCCCCGTTACTAACAATTTCTTTGCCCAATTTCTTTCCCTTCATAGCGTTAATAAATAAAGTCGCAGTAAACGATCATTGTATAAAGTATTATACTTTTCAAATAACCTTTCACAGAATGAATTGAGACTGATTTTTTTTTTTTTATATAATAAAAATGGAATGGAACTACACGCGCGCTTTAGTATACTCTGACGGGGCACTTGTAATAATGTAATAATTCAGGTGGATGTCAAATTGAGAGGGTATATTGCTAGCAATGGGACTGGTATAACGCATTACTAACACTCCGTTCCCCCCAATAAAAACTAGTAGAGGCAGGTATTATTAATAATAAGGATTAGCAACCTCATTTCTAGCAATATGCCCTGTCCTAACTAATCCATCATGATTGAAGCCATATTATAGTATATTTTTGAGATTGTTCCACAAACAACCAATTTAAATTGTGGCTAAACCAGTTATTTTAATTTAAACTTAACTACTGAATCGACTTCGATAAAGTTTCTATGTGACCAAATTGGTCCAATCTGTAAGTATATCCATTCAGAAAAAAAAATAATTTTCCAAATCGGTTTATAACTGACGGAGTTACAAACATAAAAAATACAACTAAATTGAGAACCTCTTTCAAGTCGGTGGATAAAGAATGAATTATTTGACTCGACGTTGATTTATTATGTAAGAAATATTACTATTGAATGAATGAATAATTTAGAGAAAATTTAAACGCTACGGGTATATGTACAAAATTATTATATAAAATATATTTATAATACCTTCAAGGATTTTTATTTATTTTTAAATTGTGTATTTAAACCCTCTAACAACATTCTTTGTATCTCACATTACAATGATCATATCGATCAATCGACCACCGTTTTTACTTTCAGTATTTATACCTGTTATTACTGTATATCATTAATATAATACAAGACGATGATAATGTTGTAACCGACGACTATCTAACATAAAGAATAATGTGTTCTTTTGTCATTTTTATGACCATATTCAAAGGTCGCTATTTCCGCTATTGTTTGATGTTCAACATCTATGTGTGATTAAGTGCTAATAAATCATCAGAGAAAACGATTAAGTCACCTTATAGTTACAGATAATAAATCAATATTCACATAACATATTAAAAGGTATCTAAAACTTTTTTTTATATTCAATTTAGAATAACAAACGAGCTGGCGGCCCACCTAATGGAAAGTGGTAAATATAACCGGTCGTTTATAGATATGAACTGCATCAAAGATATCATAGAAAAGAATGTAATGCTCATAGTCCATGGTGCCTTCCATGCATTACCATATCCTACCCTTCAAACCCAAACACACATACAAACACACACAGCAATGCAAGCATAAATATATTAATTAGCTAAAGATGATTCAACTCATCTTAAAAATAACATAATGTAGTTATTTAAAATAAATCATTATATTCGAAGTCTTTTAGTTTGGTTGGAATGATAAAATTTTAGTCTCATATAATTATATCGTCAGTAGATATCCAATCAATCACCAATCGTTACTACACTTATGCAAATTGTTACTTAAACTATTATCTATAATTATATTTCATATATGCAAATAAGTACCAACGACTAACGAATGATCCATCGTTCCAACTTCATTAGAATTAGTAGTAGTGAGAGTTCAACAAAACTATCATTAGTCACAATAATGAGGTACTTCTATACTTTTATATTAATTTCATTGTCGGTCAAAGGCCGATGATGGGCTGCCCTTCATAATCAATTAGCTTAATAATGGCCCGTTATTGTACAACATAGTTTAACCACAGAAGCTCCGGTGTTTAGAAGTTTGAGAAAGCATACTAATATTTCATGTGCGATCACATTCCATGATTAATGTTAAACGTGAGTCGATGATTCTTTAAAAGTGAAACAAGTTTTAAATCTATATTCTGGTATAAAAGTATTCATTCTATCAGTTTGATTGATACAACAAAGACTTTGATTAAACGCTCGACAAACCAATTTACCGGTATTGATATTTTATTAATTCATTGAAATGACATCTTAAAAAATTATGTCGTAAATTTAAATATAGTTATATATATACTTTTATAAACAACATCATAATATAAGAGAATATATCAAGACAATCTTCTCTCCAATATTTGTAAACACTATTATCCTGATTACACATATACATAAATAACTCTAAGATGAATCACTAGTTTATTCTCTTTCTCTCTGTGTCTATTTCATTTTCTTTTAGAATGATATTTTTTTTTATAATTCGGGCATTAAATATAAAAGGGTCTGCAGGAGGAGCCTCAAGTTTCTTTACTTCTAATACACTAAGCGCAATACTACTATCGATCTAAAGATCTTCATGTTTTCTTATTAGACATTAGGTGTAATTATTGTTTCAATATTATATTTTAAATACTGATGGAATTTTATCATTAATGGCAGATGCCCAAAGCATTATAATAGGTATATAATTTATTATTTGTTTTACAACATTAATGAATAAATATGCAGAATGAATAAATTCAATATTTCTAAATCTGTCGTCCGTCTCAGATTACACACTAATTACGAGTATATAGGTACCTGTTATTAATATGTTCCCAATACATTCACATTCATTCATTTCTCTTAAAATAATGACTTCCATTTAAACGAGCTTCCTTCAGCGTTGCAATGTAATTGCAGTGTCTACTGTTATGATTTATCGAAGAATCAGTTCACGTTGCAAACGAAATTAATATTTTCACATGATGACCTCCGGTTTTCACTTGACTCAGATGACCTTCCATTCATCAAATTGCCGTCTGTGATAATGATAACAGCAATAACAAATCCGTCTTCACTGTAGTCAACACATGTTAACATATTATTATAAATTCGGAACGCATCTCGTAAAAATTGATAGGTTTCCATTTTATATCTGCCTTCTAATAAATTGTTTAGAATTAAAAGTTAACACTGTATATCATTATTCTAAATACATTGAAAGTAGTGAATTAAGATGTTTTAACGTGCCCTTTTAACTATGTTACTTTTCTAAAATTCTTACTGATTGTAATTTATAGTATAACATTTTATTTCATAAATAACAACTATTACAATTGTACTAAAATATATATATCAGACGAACAGTCGAGTAGATCCCGGCATAGGAGAGGCTACTCCTTCCTTTCCCGTGGGTGTCGTAAGAGGCGACTAAGAAAGGTGGAGAGATGGGCAGCACCGTCTCTCTTAAAACATCGTGCAATTGTAATTGCCAAACCTGCCAAGCGTGGCAATTACTAGTAAAACCTTCACTTATGGGGGAGGCTATGATCAGCAGTAGACAGTTAAAAGCTGATACAACAATATATCAGAATACGAGAATATATCCTATCCAATACGAAAATAGTCATCAAAATCGCAATTAAAAAAGTAATACTTTTTTATTTCGTAAAAACAACATGTAGTTTCTTAAGTTACAGTACTAACATTAATATTATAATTTAAAATGGATACAGTAGTTATAGTTTGGGCTCCTTAATATTAATATATAATATATTAAAATAATACATAATAACTCGTATTGCATAAATACAAAAATAGACGAATTAAGGAACTTCCTTTTTGAATACGCTTAATAATTATAATATTATTTTCAAATTTAACTAAAACTATTTTTATTGATCACAGATAACATTCATGGACACTGAAATAAATTATGTGAAATGAAAACAAGCATTGTTCAT